GAGCACTCAGGTGAACATGGCCATCTGGACAATGCATCTGCATTATTATGGCTCGTTCCCACTCGGTGTGCTATCTCGAAGTCATATTCCTAAAGCCTCTCGATCCAACGAGTTACTTGGCCTTCGGGGTTCTTGAAATTCAGGAGCCACTTCAATGCAGCATGGTCCGTCCTGAGAAGGAATTTTCGCCCATAGAGGTACTTATACAAATGCTCCACTGATTCCACCATGGCCAATAGTTCCCTCCTGGTAACGCAGTAGTTTCGTTCTGCCTTCGATAGCACCTTGCTGAAGTAACCGATGACTCGCTCTCGCCCATCTTGATACTGCGAAAGGACTCCACCAATGCCGATATTACTCGCATCTGTGTCGAGAATAAATTGTCCTTGTGGAAGTGGATACCCAAGAATCGGTGTCGTGGTCAAGCGTTCCTTCAGAGCATCAAAGGCGGCCTGGCATTCTCGATCCCAGTGGAAGGGGCGTGCTTCCTCGGTGAGACGAGTCAGAGGCTTTGCGATATCCGAAAACATTCGAACGTAACGTCGATAATAAGTGCAGAAAAGCTCCTGAGTTGATGCTTATCTTTTGGTACTGGCCATTGCTTCACTACTCGTACTTTCTCAGGGTCGACTTCTACACCCTGCCTTCCTGCGACGTGTCCCAAGTAGTTAACCCGTTTCTGCAGCAGATGGCATCTCTTCAGATTGAGTGTGAGATTTGCAGCCTGAAGTCTCTTGAAAACTTCCTCTAGGTTAACCAGATGTTCCTCAAAAGTTTTACCGATCACGATGATGTCATCCAAATAAACTAGGCATGTCTGCCAGCAGAGTCCCCTCAACACATTCTCCATGATTCGTTCGAAGGTGGCCGGAGCATTGCAGAGCCCGAAAGGCATAACCTTGAATTGCCATAACCCAGTGCCAATGGTGAAAGCTGTCTTTTCCTTATCAGCCGGATCCATTTCCACTTGCCAATATCCACTTTTCAGGTCCAGAGTGGAGAAAAGATTCGATTCCGCCAACGTTACGTTGGTCAATCGGCGATAGTCCACACAGAAACGAGTGTTTCCATCTTTCTTCTCCACTAGTACCACTGGTGAAGCCCAAGGACTATGGGATGGCTCGATTACCTCGTCTTGTTCCATTTCCTGATTGATCTTTTCTGCAATTTCTCTCTTGCCCTGTGGTTATCTTCGGGCTGGTTGACGGATCGGTCTGGTATCTCCCGTATCAATTTTGTGACTGACGATGTTGGTTCTACCTGTTTTTCCATTGGCAGGTATGAAAATGGATCCATACCTCTGCAGTAACTCGGTTAACTTCTTCTACTGTCGGTTGTTGAGTGAGTCGTTTGCAGCAGAGACGAGTTCTTCATACTTGCCGGCCTCATCAGTGGTTGCTGTCACCTGGTGGATTATGGAGGCAGCCGGCACACAGGTTCCAATCTACGTCCCTTTGCCAATCGTCACAGGGTAATTATTTATGTCGATAAATCGAACAGGTACATGGTCGTCTGCTGACAGTTAAGCCTTGCCGACTAAGATTCCTCGTCCGACTTCCTCGTCATGGTTCCAGGGTTTCATGATGATGGGACTGCCTTGCTTCAATGTACCCTCAATCCGAGCTACTACAATAGTCTCGCTCCGTTTCGGTAACAGTACGTCTTCTTCTAACGTTACTCCTGCCGCTACCTCCACTCGTGGATGCAAAAAGATCTCTTCGGCACCCACCTTGAGTGTTCTGCTTCTGGAGTCCAGTTGAATTCCTTGCGCACCCATGATGTCCATTCCCAGAATAACATCTTCTTCAATATCTGCCACGATAGCTCGATGTGAAAATTCAACGGTCCCAATCGATATATTCACATTGATATTCCCATAAACGGTGGCAGCTTTACCTGTAGCAGTTCGCAGACGCCATCTTGAGTCCAGAAATTGCTTTCTTGAAAACGTCAGAAGTCCACGTCGCAGGATTGTCTTCGATGCACCAGTATCCACCAACAATGCGCATTTCTTTCCGTCGATCAGTCCATCTACGTAGACGCTACTGTTATCACGCCATAGGGATGCCACAAAGATGAGAGGGTCTTGAGAATGACGGGTCGAAGCTGTTCCCTTGAAGTCGACCCGCTCTAGTTTTTCCTGCGGCTGCGTGGAAGATGATTTTTCCTCAGTAGCCTGTTTCGCACCTCTACAAGCTCTCTGGAGGTGGCCCAACTCCCCGCAATTCCAACAACGTACCGGTCTTCTCTTCTCATTCCAGAAGCCCTGGATGGCGTTGATTAAGGCTTCAGTAGGATCTTGCCTGGTATTTTCTGCTATGTTTCCGCTGTCGTTCATTGCCCGGACTCTTGCTGATCCTCGGAAAGCTTCTGCTGCGGCCTCGATCTCAAGCGCAGCTGCCAGAGCACTGGTGAGGTCTTTTGATCGAGTCAGGCGAACTGCTTTCTGCATTTCGATATCCCGCAATACATCCACGAACGTTTGAACAGCTAGACATTCCATAAGGGACTCTGGGGCTGATGGGTAGGCACAGTGGACCAATCGAGCTACATCCACTTCGAATTCTTGAAGACTCTCGTTCGCTCTCTGTCGACGGCTCTTCATTTGTGATTGAAACACTTGCTGCAGATGTTCATGGCCATATCGCATGTCGAGACGTTTGACGAGATGATCGTAACTATCGAGTTCACCTTCCGGAATTGTTTGCAAGATGTTCAATGCATCACCCCGTAGAGCTACTGTCAGAACCACAACCTCGTCCTTGGATGTCCACCCATTGGCTTTGGAAGCTGCTCCGAACTGCTTCAGATAGTTCGGCCACGATGTTTTCTCATCGAATGTTGGTGGTTTCACTCGATTGGTAGTAGTAACTGCATCTGGCCCTACTGTGGTTTCAATCATGAGTCTTTGACCATTTCCAGACTTCTCCTGCACAGTTTTTCTTTCTATTTCGAGCTGCAGCTCCTTCTTCATCTCTTATATCTGGGTGGTGAATTGGTTTGAAACCTGAGCTATAATCTTGTCGTGCTGAGACGCGATCTGTTTCGAAATCCCAGCCAACATCGATTCCGCTGAAGCTGGTTCCTCGAAGGTGAACGTCTCTGGATCTTGACCTACGCTCACCATATACTCTTTGAGACGATGCTGAAGTGTAGCCTTGTTTCCTGTTGTGTCGAGATCTCTCTCCTCCAACTCGCGTTTCAAGTCCACCACTTTCAACCCGTGTAGTTTCTTCACTGCAACGGTCTGTTCACTTCACACTGGAATATCCCACACTTCTGACACCAATTGTTACGTTATTCGGGTGCAGAAGCGAACACGACACTATTTATTTCTGAACTGATTTATTTAAAATGAAGAAACACTAATTTATATCGAACTTATAACTACTATTCATGTAAAACGATTTATAACACGCGGTATATAACTGTCTCTCTGACACTCGCTGTTTGACTCCCTGACATCAGTTATTCGGCCGTTTATATATGTGATCACTTGGCAGGCTTGGTTCGAGAACCTTCTCGAATGGTCTTCCGTCTCCTTCTTTTTGTTCTAGAAGCTTCTTAGAACAAACCTCTCTCTCTAATTGTTCCATCAATTGTTTCCAGAACATTCCAGAATCTTCTGTGACGTTATTTGTCACTGTGGAATATATTGAGTGTTCGGAAATATGCTGATGCATGTAGGAATCATTGAGAGGTTGGAGAGCAATCTGAGATGCGTGCTACAGGATGATCGTTGTACTCCTGCCTTCCTGCTGATGTTTCTGAAGCCCCTCTAAGGCGAATATCATAACAGTATTCATGTGAGATGATAGGATAGAGAGACAGAGTGCACTCCATTGAAGTCGTTGTTTCTTTATCTGCCTATTGTACTTTTTATGAACCCTCCAAAGTCGTTTTATATGGTCACTGCCATCGTTCCTGCATCAACTGTATGCATGTCAGATGCTAGACTGCAGAGTTACAGTGTGAACATAGTCGAAGTCGAAGTTTCTTGTTCTGCAAGTTGTGTGCGTTATACCTGCTTAAAAGTCGTCTCATATGGGCATTGCGAACTCGTCTGCTTCAATAGTATCCATGTGAGATGATAGGATAGAGAGATAAAGTGCACTACAATGAAGTCGTTGTTTCTTCATCTGCCTATTGTACTTTCTATGAACCCTTCAAAGTCGTCTTATATGGTCACTGCGATCGTATCTGCTTCAACTGTATGCATGTCAGATGCTTGACGGCAAAGTTACAGTGTGAAAATAGTCGAAGTCGAAGTTTCTTGTTGTGCAAGTTGTGTGCGTTATACCCGCTTGAAAGTCGTCTCATATGGGCATCGGGAACTCGTCTGTTTCAATAGTATCCATGTCAGTTGATAGGATAGAGATATAGAATGTGCACACCGATGGAGTCGATGTATCTTCATCTGCTCATCGTACTAGATATATACCCTTCAAAGTCGTCTTTTATGGTCACTACGATCATATCTGCTTCAACTGTTTGCATGTTAAATGCTAGACTGCAGAGTGACAGTGTAAACATAGTCGACGTCGAAGTTCCTTGTTCTGCAAGCTGGGTGCGTTTTACCTGCTTGGAAGTCGTCTCGTATGGTTATTGCTAACTTTTCTGCTTCAATAGTGTCCATGGGAGATGATAGGATAGAGAGATATGGTGTGCACAACGATGAAGTCGATGTATCTTCATTTGCCTATTCAACTCGTTATATACCCTTCAAAGTCATCTCATACGGTCACTGCAATCGTATCTGCTTCAACTGTATGCATGTCAGATGCTAGATTGCAGAGTTACAGTGTAAACAAAGTCGAAGTCAAAGTTGCTTGTTCTGCAAACTGTATGCGTTTTACCCGCTTGAAAGTCGTCTTATATGCCAATGCGAACTTGTCTGCTTCAATAGTGTCGATGTAAGATGATAGAATGAAGAGATGTAGTGTGCAAAACGATGAAGTCGATGTATATTCGTTCGCCTATTGTACTTGTTATATTAACATATGACACAGCAGGGTCAAAGGGAGCTCAGGTCCAAATCCATCTCAGAGTCTACAATAATGGATCCACAAACAAAAATTATCATTCGAAAGGTTACGGACAGCATTAATGCCAAAATCGTTGCAGAATTTGAAACACTCAATATGAAATTCACTACAATACAGACCAAGATAGAGCAAAACAAGAAGAGCATCTCGGACATTGATCATAGGTTAGATAAAGTAGAACAATATTTCCGGCGATGCAATCTTCGGATACATGGAATCGAATTCCGACAACAGGAGGATACAGCACAAACAGTAGCAAACTTCGTCAAAAACATACTCAAAATCAATAATTTCAGCACCAAGGACATCGAATGCTGTTACCATATACCAAACCAATCACTATTTGTCAAATCCTACTCCTACAACGTTGAACAGATTGTTCACAATGCTAAAAAACTACTGAAAGAAACCAAAATTCTAATAAGGGAAGATCTAACCCCATTTGGGCTCAAAGCTATAGCGGCTGCATCTGCAAAGTATGGGGCAAGGTCTGCTTGGACCATGGATGGTGATATACGAATGATTATCAACAATAAAGTCCATTAACCAACTAACAAGGAGCTGGAACACCTCATTATGGAAAACCTACCCAAGGCTGTGGGTGAGAGTATAAAGGATGGGCAAGATGATTGAGAGGGTTGGGGCGGAATTATGTATTATGTTTTCCTTTTTTCTTTCTATAATTAGCATAATGAATAAGTATGATGTTGATTTCCACTTTTTCTTTTTTTATATTTTAGTTTGTTTATATATAGTGATAACAATTTAGTATCTCATGTAGGTATACGAACATAATCCTGATAGAATTCCTATCATGAAATTGAAGGTTTATGTTATATAGGTTTGGTACATTTTTTGTTTAGAAAATACCTACCCATAATACAATGGGGTATTGTAATATCAAGCTTCACATTGGAATTTTTCCGAGTACATTTGCTTCAATCTGCTTCCTCAATTTATTTTGAATTTTCTCTTGTATTCCATTAATTTCACTTCAGAAATATTAACTACAATCATTTTACGCATTGGAATAAGTCATACAGAAATTGTGTTACTTGAAACAAGTAGCTATATGAGCTAAGGATATTGAACTTTTTTTCCTCTCAGTTTGTGGGTGATGGGTGAACTGGGAGCCAACTTGCAATATTCTTCACAGTTGCTACGCTAGATGTGAGATCACTGCTTGCCGGATTGACCTCCTTCAAAGAAATCATACTGAAACACGGGTTTGATATTATCATTGTGACTGAGACATGGCTTTCCACTAATATATCAACGAATCAAGCAAATATTGATGGCTACAATATGATGAGACAAGACCGAGCAGTTTACTATAAAAATAACATTGTTGCATCTAGAATTCAGGTAAATCCTATGGACTTTAAAACAAATATGGGTGAGTTTCAAAATCAATGATTCTAAAATAGGGATCGGAGGTCTATATAGACCACCCCATACGAGGATTTCTGACAGTATCACATCATTAGAAGATACACTTCGCTTGGTTTCACCACTTGTAGATGTAATAATTTCACTCAGCGATATAAATGTTAATTGTCTGAACTCTCTCAATAAAAATACCACAGATTTTTTGAATTTTCTGGAAGCATATGGATTAACTATTATAAATAATGAGCCAACACGGGTGAACAATAAAAGTAGCACTATAATTGATGTAATTGCTGTCAGCAACCCCGATTTAGTATTGGATACCTATATCGGACCTTTCGTGATTATAAATATGTCAACTACGAGACTTTCATGAATGATCTTAGAATTATGCCGTGGTATGATATATATCTGATAGAGGATGTTGAAGATATAGTAAATACATTCAATGAGTTTATAATTTCTTTATTCGATGTACACGCGCCATTGAGGACCATGAGAATTAGTAAACCTTAGGCCCCCTGGCTGACCGATACATTGAGAATAATGATAGAAGATAAGAATAGAGCATTAGCAACTTACCAATGACCCAAAGCTGAAAATGACTGGAAAAGATATAAAGATCTGAGAAACATGGTCACAACTGCTACAAGAACTGAAAAAAAAGTTTATTCAAAATATATACAAGATCAAGCAGATTCTAAACAGCTATGGGACACTCTTCATCTTTCCGAGATTGTAAGCAAAAAGAACAAAAACTCAATTCCTGATAATTTTAGCATTCCAGAAGAAATTAACAATCATCTTGTAACATCAGTTAATCAAGCAGTCACAGAAACATCTGAAGAATCAATCAATTTCTACAGATCTAATACCCTATCTGAAAATATAAATTTCCAATTGGCGCCTGAATGTGATGAACAAATTGAACTTGTATTAAGGAAGATTAAATCGAACGCAACAGGCTCTGATGAAATCTCAATAAAAATGGTCAAACTCTGCATCCCTTATCTCACTCCCATAATCACCTATATCACCAATTAGTGTATTATATTTGCAACTTTTCCATCAGCTTGGAAAAAATCCCTGATTTTCCCAATTGATGAAATAAACAAGCCAACATCTCTCAAAGACTTAAGACCAATTGATATTTTGCCAGCAATCTCGAAAATCGTAGAGAGAATAGTTCATGAGCAGATATACAGTTATGTTGCTTAAAAAAATATTACCAGAGCACCAGTCTGGCTTCAGAGCTAATCACAGCACTACCAGCGCACTGTTGAAGGTCACGGATGACATTATGGAAAATACTGACAAAGATAAGGTAACGTTATTACTTTCTATCGATTACAGCAGAGCATTTGATGCAATGAACCACGAACTACCATGTTCGTAACTGAAATACTTTGGCTTTGCCCATGCTTCTTACCCTTTCATTGATTCGTTTCTCAATGGACGATCCCAATGCGTAGTTATTCAAGATAAAAAATCACATGAACTTAATGTAAGACATGGAGCACCTCAAGGGTCTGTACTCGCTCCTCTGCTTTTTACAATTCACACCTCGGACTTTTCTAAGGTTTTAGGGGATTTCAACATACAAACATATGCTGATGATACAAATTCATACTACTCCGATAAAATAAAAAACTTATTATATAGAAAATCTGCTTAATAATGATATCACAAAGCTGGTGGAGATATCTAAAAACCACTTATTGAATATTAATCCCTCTAAATCTGCCGCTATTGTGTTTGGCAATATTGAAGATCGGCAGAGGGCCATAGAGAATGTCAAATTACATGGAGATGGTCTTTGCATTCCATTCACAGAAGTAATAAAATGCTTGGGTTTAACTATTGATAATAACCTGAGATTCGTAAAGCATGTTAACAAACTAGTGCAAAGATCATATGGCTTGCTGAAAAATTCATACACAAATCGACATTATCCCACAAGAAAGTTGAAAATCACGTTATGTGATACTTTAGTTTCATCAATTTTCAATTACTGCGACATTGTCTATGGCCCTTGTCTCGATCTAGCAACATCGACACGAATACAAAAAGTCAAAAACTCCTGTATACGTTCAATCTTTGGCATCAAAAGTAAAATACATGTTACTCCTTTCATTACTGAAATTAAATGGCTCACAATGTTTAACAGACGACAACTCCATCAGTTATGTTTCTTGCATAACCTAATCCTCAAAAAAACTCCTTCTAATCTGATGACAAAACTTATACTCAGATATCAAATACACAACAGACATCTGCGGATCACCGATACTCTGACTGTTCCAAAACACTCTTCCACGCTGTATGAACGATCATTTTCATATGAAGCCGCCAAATTATACAACAGTTATAGTGATTATATGAAACTTGAGTCTCTGATATCCTTCAAAATTGAGCTCAAGGACATCATTTTCGACAGGCAGTGATTCATTCATGATCCATGATCTCTTCTCTTCAAGCCACAAAAACGGTTATCATTATTATTACTTTTGTCACTATTGCAATCGTTAGTATTGTTCATTATCTTTATTATTATCATTATTGGTGATACTGCTATTACTACAGGTATTTTTATTATCATTATTGCGTTATTATTGTTATTATTATAAATATTATGAATGATGTATACAAGAATGTACTTGATATTTTTAACCTGGTTGGGTGAAAGAGTAGCCTTGCTTAACTCTGCCAGGATGAATAGAGGCAATTTATTATTATTATTATTATAATAATTATACAGTGAGGACCAAAAGTCCGTCGTCCCCCTTGTAACTTCTTTATTCTACATATTACAAGAAAATTTTGATCACATAAGTTGAAGGGTTTCATTCGATCTCTTTAATGGTTCGAGTTTCATTCATACAGAGCGTCTCTGAAAAGCACGGTGACTTAGAAGTTGATTTTTCTGAATGGGACACCCTATATTTCATTGCATTTTCAGATTTTCTCTGGAGATCTGATTATATCGATGTATCACACTTGGGGTCTAATGGAGATGATTACAGAGATATGGGGTGTGAAAAATCGACATTTTTCAACTTCAGGAATTTTTTTGTCGAAACTATTTATTATTGGTCAGAACGGCTCTTATGTCCCTATCTTAACTTCTGATCAACTATCTACTGACATTTGATTGAAACAAATACAAGGTGGTGCAGATTTCAGAAACCTGATCACCCGGTATATGTCCCAATTAAATATCAGTAGATGGTTAATCAAAAGTCGAGATAGGGACATAGAAGCCGGTTTGACCAATAATGAATAGTTTCGACAAAAAAAATTCCTAAAGTTGAAAAATGACGATTTTCCACACCCTATATCTCTGTAATCATTCTCGCTAGACCCCAAGTGTGAAACATCGATGAATCAGATCTTCAGAGGAAATCTGAAAATGCAATGAAATACAGGGTGTCCCCTTCAAAAAAATTAACTTCTACGTCACCGTGCTTTTTAGAGACACTCTGTATGAATTAAACTCAAACCATTGAAGAGATCGAATGATAATCTACAACTTATGTATTCAAAATTTTTTTGTAATATGTAGAATGAAGAAGTTACGGGGGGGGCGACGGACTTTTGGTCCTCACTGTATACCCTTCAAAGTCGTCTAATAGGGTCACTACAATGGTATCTGCTTGAACTGTATGCATGTCAGATGCTAGACTGCAGAGTTTCTGTGTGAACATAGTCGTAGTCGAGGTTTTTTGTTGTGCAAGTTGTGTGCGTTATACCAGCTTGGTCGTCTCATATGGGCACCGCGAATTCGTCTGCTTCAATAGTATCCATGGGAAATGATAGGAGAGAGAGATAGAGGGTGCACACCGATGGAGTCGATGTATCTTCATTCGCCTATTGTACTCGCTATATATCCTCCGAAGGTGTCTTATGTCGATACGATCATATCAGCTTCAACTGTATGCATGTCAGACGCTAGACTGCAGAGTTACAGTGTAAACATAGGCGAAGTCGAAGTTTCTTGTTCTGCAAGCTGTGTGCGTTATACCTCCTTGAAAGTCGTATCATATGGTCATTGCGAACTTGTTTGTTCAATTGTGTTCATGTGAGATGATAGGATAGAGAGATATAGGTTGCAAAACGATGAAGTCGATGTATCATCATTTGCCTATTGTACTCGTTAT